GACGACCACCTCGTCCAGACGTCCCTCCTTACCTCCCCGCTCGCACCGACTTCCACGAAAAGCGCAACCATGCCCGTCAAAAGCTTGCTGCGCTCCACCACGTGCGCTTCCGAGATCTGGCGACCGATGTCTTCTGTGAGCTGGAACGCCGCTTCCCAAATTTCACCAGCCGAGAATTCCGCCCCCGCCCGCCTCCCAATATGGGCCCTCCCAGCGGTCGTACCTCGCAGCAGTCTGCTCGGGGACCTCCGTCGCGCATGGGACGAGGATACCCGTCTGGCGGTCCCCCAGGCAGTCCGTTTCCTCCACGTACTGGTTCTCTTGGAGGGCCACCGAGTATGAATGGTGATGGTCCGTTTCCTCGGTCTTTCCAGAGCAATACTATGGTTCCGAATAAAAGCACGATGGTCGAGGATAGCGATGATATGGGACCAGAGGACGAGGATGATGCTCGGAGTGATGCGTTTGGTCTAGATGCTGTTTTAAGTCGACGGGGTACTACAACGACCTTGGGCGACAGTGAACGGAGACTGTTACTGGAGAGCCAGACCCAAGTATCGATTCTCCAAGATAAGATTGAAAAGCTGGAAGAATTGGTCCGCTCCAAGGATGAGGAGTTGGCTCAGTCATCACAAGATGCAGATTCCTCCGGGATCAGTCATAATGAGCGCCAGGAATGGGACGACTTACGACACGAGCTTGAGACCAAGGTATCAAAAGCCGAGGATCTCAACAACTCGCTTCAGCTAGAGCTTGAGCGGGTTAGAACTGAGCATGAGACCATAGAACGGGATCTTCGCAGCCAGCTCAATGACTCCTCCCGTGGTGTCGATGATGCGGGTCTACAAGCGCGCTATGTTGATCTAGAGACTCAGCACCATAATTTACAAGCAGAGTTGCAGCAGCAGCAGCAAGTGACCGACGAAGTCCGCCGCGAGGCATCGGCATTCCTCATGGAAATGAAGACACTTTCAGCCGAGAGTCACTCCAATTGGGAGCGTGAAGAACAGCTCTCGAAAGAAGTCCACAGACTCGAGGCAGATTCCAACGAATGGAAGAACCGCTACGCCAAGGTCAAGTCGCAGTTGCGGCAGCTTCGCACGTCGTCTGGTGGTTTCGCCGACTCGCGACCCGATGCAAGTCTTGTCGCCAAAGAACATGAGTTGGTGCAACCAGACGGGCTGGTCAAGGATATCCACGTTACTAAGTTCCAGGTGTCCGTGGACGAGCTCCTGCGAGTTGCGCGTTTCGAGGAATCACATGTGGTGCTCCACCAGATTAAGATGGTCATTGGAACAGTCCGTCATATTCTCCAGGATGTGGAATATTCCCCGATCCCGGTAGATGGATCGGCTGCTCTGCGCGCAAAGGCCAAGGGCCAGGTGTCTACGACAGCAAACAACATGATCACCGCCACTCGCAACTTTGCCAGCTCTAGTGGTCTGTCTCCGGTCTCGCTCCTTGATGCAGCGGCCTCCCATCTTTGCACGGCTATTGTTGACCTGATACGGGTGGTGAAGATCCAGGCATCGCCTGTAGATGAGTTGGAAGATGAAGATGATGAAGCGGATGTATCTCAGGAGCAATTCCCTGATTATTTTGATACACCTGCCAGTCAAAAGCGCATGAGCAACAACTCCGTCTACAGTGCTATCAGTCGTCCAGACGACTCTCAGTACCCTGTGCAGAATGGTGTGACCACTAACCTCAATCATGGATGGGGGCATGTGCAAGAAGACCATGAGGTGTTGGAGCTTAAGGTGAGTCGGCCCGAGATGGATAATATCGCAATGAATGATATACTGACAGGTGATCCTAGCTCTATGTTGAGGACCAGACGGATGGCATGGTCCAGCAAATTCAAGCTTTGGTGGCTAGTATCCGAGCCGAGGACGACCTGCATACTGTCCAGACGCACGTCTCTGCCATTTCGAATGTTGTTGCGAATGTGGTTTCCGCTACAGAGCACCTGATACGCGAACGCACTGGAGATATCGCTTTACGGCAGGCGTCTGAACCGGTCATCGCGGCATTGGACCAGTGCCGCGGCCGATTGACGGCCACTGCTGGTGAAGGTGGAGACGCCACCACTCCCGAGCAACTGCGTGAGCTCACGAACAAACTGCCACCCATTGCATTTGAGATCGCTCGGCAGACCAAAGATCTTGTACAGCGCCTTGAGGCCACATCGGCAGTCGCTGATGAGGAAGATGACTTCCGGTGATGAGCTTGATCCCAGGCATTGTTTCTCATGACATGAACTTGAGGCTACCCATTTTGTCTTTCTTTCGCCTCAACTTCTTTATATTCCTTCTTCTTTGCCCCTTGCTTTTCAGCGACTACTTCTCTATGGCAACGAGTGGACAATGTTGAAACGATGTCCCGACATATGTGGCATCTACAGGTTTCACTTCCCTCTGTCACTTATCTTTCTTCCATATTCTCCTATTCTCTGTACTCTATTTTAGCCCTTTCTATTGTCTATTTAGATTCTTTTAGCCTCGTTTCTTGTTGATTTGTTCCTTTTTTTTTTTATCTCACGACCGCTTGTTGGTATCGGGCTGTTGTTTTCTCACATTTTGGATGATTTCAGGTGAAATGAAAGTACTTCGTATATCTTCAGCTCATGACCAAATAGTATACCAATAATCAACGCAAATATACCCCTTTAAAGATGCATATCTTCTCGTAGCCAAGACTGCTAGTTCGGAAGGGATATCCCGGAAGTCATTACATAATCACGGAGCTCTAGACGCTTTTTGGCATTGAGCTTCAGTTTTTTCCCTTCTTTCTACTTCTTTAACTCGCATTCTTCATCAATCTATAACCTTTGTAAGTGAGCTTGGTCCCTTGGCATCTGAATGCTGGAGTGCATTTCCACTTTATCTCAGACTCTTTCAGAGACAAGATTAGGCAACAGAAACAGTCATGTTTGCCCCCTGGGGAGTCTGGAGAAGCTACAAAGTGGAGCCTCAGGCAGAAAGTGCACAAGTGGTCTTTAGGTGAACCTTAACAAGCTAACCCCAAAGTAGCCCGGCACCCGAGTTTACCCGCTCCGCCCTGCCCCTCACCATGTTCTGCCGACTGAGGTCAATAACCCCACCTTCTTCCCTCTTCTCTTCTTCTCTCTTCAATTGCACTTCTTTCCACCCCGCTGCCCGATCTTTCGCTTCATCAACCGCCGCTATGTCCAACACCACCGCTTTCTTCGAGGTCCAGTACGCCCCCGCTGGCTCCTCTACCCGTAAGTTCTCCCATCAGTTTTGTTATTCTTGTTTCTGGCGGCGCAGAGAGTTTTTACCTCCCCGCCCCAGTCTTACCTTGCTGCCTCCGACCCCCAGCTTTCAATCATAGTATTAAAGCTTGGCAATTTCACATCATGCTATGTTAATTGGAATTGAATTTGATGCTGATTCCCTCATTAGCCAAGATTGGCCGCATCAACTTCAAGCTCTACCCCAACGAGGTTCCCAAGACCGCCAAGAACTTCGCTGAGCTTTGCAACGCCGAGCAGGGTAAGGGCTACAAGGGCTCTTCCTTCCACCGTGTCATCCCCCAGTTCATGCTCCAGGGTGGTGACTTCACCCGTGGCAACGTAAGTCTTTTTTTGATCTAATACTGATAGTCGCTCGGTGTCTAACCTTGTTTTTACCGGAATAGGGTACCGGTGGTCGCTCCATCTACGGTGAGAAGTTCCCCGATGAGAACTTCATCCACAAGCACACCCGCCCTGGTCTCCTGTCCATGGCCAACGCTGGCCCCAACACGTAAGTCTCAGTTTTGTATTCCAGATGGCCCACCTACAGAACCATACTAAACATTTCTCTTTTCTTTCCAGCAACGGCTCCCAGTTCTTCATCACCACCGTTGTCACCTCGTGGCTCGATGGCAAGCACGTCGTCTTCGGCGAGGTCGCTGATGCCGAGTCCATGAACGTTGTCAAGGAGATCGAGGCTCTCGGTTCCTCCTCCGGCTCCGTCCGCTCTGCTGTCAAGCCCACCATCGTCAACTGCGGTGGCAACTAAAAAGCTCGTTCTGGAGATTTAGTTGGGTGTTGGGAGGATGAACGTCTTTCTTTTCGTGGTGAACTTGGTCCTTTCCCAGCGATCCAGTGCGGCGTGGGACTAGCATAGGTGGCTTTCCCTTTTGCGCCTTGTAATCTAAAGTTTCTACCAAGCTAGCTCATACATGCCTTGATGTCGTGGGGACTTGATGTTCAATTTGTGGATTGGTAGTCTTGTAAGAACGAGTATGCGAGTATGTTTCCGCCCTTTTCCAAGGTAGAGGCGCAAAGCAGAAGTTCCTAAAAACTGCATTTTAGCGCATGCATATTTCAAGTCGATCCACCGTAAAGCCCGAAATTGATCATCAAAATTATCCTATTATAATTTCCGCCCTTACTTTCCCTAGCAGATACCTCTACATGTCCGAGTGGTTGTTCAAGGACTTCAATCGGGGGTCTGCGGGCCAACTACATCACCGTACCCCGCGTGAGATGACAGGTTTTTTTTTCTTAGTGGAAAAGGTTTCCATCTCCACTTCCAATGAAAATTTGATGTGTAATCAACGATTTTGATTATATGGATACTCTAATTTAAGTCTCTTTCATTTGTTATTTATTATAGTCCAATTGAGTAGAGAGTAATTGAGATAGACAAGAAGATTCATACATCATGCCATGCATGCATCATGGGTGAGATTAGGCCCGAGGCATATGCACCCGATACACAAAAACAAGGAACAATCAATCTGCATACAAAATAGTGCATATTGCCCTCTACCATTTCGAAGAGAAATCAAATACCGGGATATCAAACCATATCGCTAAAAATGCTGTAGAATCAAAGCGTAATTAAAGCGTAAGGTCAAGACAAAACAACACCATGCAAAGACACTTCTCTAACCACAGCACTTAGTGACAGAGGTAGCATCCGACCTAAATGCAAAATCCATGTTAGTACTGTAATGTATAGTAGTCGATACACACCGGACGAAACAACTTACTCCTGATTCAAGTTCACGGGCTCCCAGGAGAAAATAAAAGCGCCCAGGAAAGCACCAATGAAGATACAAATGATAATATACCCATTGAAGTACATGGCAAGCAGCATGATGATATACGCAACAGCAAACTGCGCCATATGCATCAGCGAGCGCACAGTATGTTCAACAAGCGACGGACGATACGGTGCAAGCATAGCCTCCTGTTTCTCGATGCGCTGGACATCTCGCATAGCACTAGCCGGTACAGCAGCAGAGACAGAAGCCCGCTTCTTTGAATCTCCATTCTGGAGAGAACCCGACACAGGAGTAATGACATCGTCTTCTGCACTAGAGAACGCAGCATCGGGGTCTACATTGCCGCCGCAGCAATTACTGGGCGACTTGTTGGCATCTCCTTCTTCGCTTCGCAGGGGAACGTTGGAGATAGATTGGGCGTTGGAAGATCCCGACAAGTAGAGTCTTCGAAGACGGGCTCGACGCACAATAAACGAGTCGTATTCTCGGCCCAGACGGCGGAGGAGTTCAAGACTCAGTACGAGGCAGATTACTCCGATGCATGAGCCGGCGAACATGCCGCGTGATTTTATGTGCCATGAGTTGGCGAGGAAGCCTGGGGGGGATTATTAGCTTGTGCTTGGGGGATTGCATGGAGGGGTTATAGGGCTGCGTACATGCGTCAACTGTGTACCAGTTCCAAAGCATCTGATCATGATTGTAAGTAGGATTCCATTCGGTGGATAGAGTAATGAATCTGGGGTTGATATTAGACGGACCGAGATTTTGCAGCTATTTCCCATGTCCATTCCGCTCATGTCCATTCCGGTGCTGCTGGCCATAGCCGCCGAGGCTGTCGACGTGGCTGTTGACATGGTCATCTCGTGCATATCCATGATCGACTGTTGACTGGGGACCTTGGGGAACTGTGAATCGAGAGAATCGTAGTGTTGATTGAGTTGGAAGTCAAAACAGAAGACCGTACAAAATATATAAACAAAGGAACAGGGTCTTCCAGCATGTGATGCTCTAATAGGAGCAATATGAGCAGATTTATGAATTTGGCCCTAAGAACTTGGTGAGGCAGTTTGAGCAAATTCTCGGATTGACGATTGACCGTAACTGGTAACATTAAACGTAAAAGACAAGGGTATCAACTTGAACTATTCTCCCATTTGATTTCTCCTTTTTTCTTTTTTCTTTTTTCTTTTTCTTTTGCTTTTGCTTTTTTCTTATTTCAGCCCCGGGATCCTTTAATGACTCCTTCCAACAATTCGCGGATCTGACTGCACCCATCGATCCCGACCGCCAACATTGTCTCAAGGTACGTAGCATGCACCTTAGACTCCATAGTAAGCACACACACCTTCATCGCCTCTTCATCCTCATCCATATTGTTCTCGCCGACAGGCACAGCCGTCGTCGTTGCAACAGTCAGCGAAGGCAGTTCCTGTTCTTCTGGAAGTGATAGATCCAAAAGCGGGTCAAGTTCGTCGTGTCGTGGGTCACGCGGTGTAGAGGCGCTGCCACTCATACCAGCAGTACAGCCACAGAGTAGTCCTGGCATGGGAATACCGGCGTCCACGAGCGCTAGCGTACAGGCGTTGATCGCTGCGGCGAGCAATGAGCCATCGGCGGAGAGAACAGAGACATGGATGCTGATTGTGCTGTGAGGATAGAGGTAGGTGTGGAGGTGAGACTGGAAGGCTGAGCGGAGGGTTGTAGCGATTCGCGATGATTGTCTGTAGTCCAGAGATATTAGCATTGGCTGGATTTTAACCTGGCCTGATATCCCTGTAGCCCTCTTCCTATGGTAGGAGGCAATAGGGAAGCGTAAGAGTGTAAATACCTGTCACTTCCACCGGCTCTCCGCTTGCGATCTACACCGGCAAACCCAGCGACATTCACGTCTACTTCCACAACTGCGTGGCCACTGCCAGCAGCTCCGCCGCCACCATCTCCTCTGCGACCCTCGGCGGGGCCGTGGACAGAGCACATGATTGATGTGTTGCCCATGGACAGGTATGAAGAGCCGGAGCTAGCGGGGTTGGTTGAGATCTGAGCTTGGAGCAGACGGAGTTCGTTCCAGCGGCGGCCATCAAGGCGCAGCCGTGTCAGGGGATATGTCGTCGAGGTGTCGAGCGGCATCTTTGCGGATTGACTCTGATAAGAACGAGAGTTGTCTTGAGTGAAAAGAGGGTATGTCAAGTAGGAAGTCGAGGTTTATTTTGTGTCCACTGTGGGCCTAGGTTAGTCAGGCGTGTCTTGATTGAGCAATGGCGAGAGTAGAATCTTGTTCTTGACTTACGTTGGCTATTATCGCATGTGCAAAGAATCCGAATGCCAAACCAATGAGAGCATCTTTTTTTCTGGTTCGCTTGCACGTGACCCGGTAGAACAACTCTATGAACAATTTCAACTACTTCTTTGAGCATTCAGGAGATATAGACAGATACTCAAGTCTTGTTGAAATGGAAAGGGAAACAGAGCACCAAATTATATTTTAAAGAATATTCAATTGAAGTATTCTTGAGTGGACTGATACAACTTCGTTTTGTGGCCGTTATCGTCTGCCGTAACTGACGTCGTGTCGCGACAGTCTGGTACTCCAACTTCCACTTACGCTCCGTCACCATTTGAGCTCTGTTTACAGAAATGCAGAGAATATGGCTAATAACGATTACAATGGGGAGGTGATCACCATCGATTCAGACGACGATGACTTGGAGGTGACGCAGTATGCAACTCCGACTGCTAGCAGTATGATACCTCTTCGACGCGTTTGACAGGCAGCTCACATTTTCTCAAGACAGATTTTCTGGTGTGAGGCATGGGACTGATACACCAATTAAAAGCGAGTCGCGTAATCTTCTTTCTAGCTCATCAAGTGCGGTAAAGATCCAGCCCGTGGACAGCGATGAAGAAGACGCCAACGATGGCGAGCTAGCGTATAAGAAGTTCAAGGAACGCAAGTCCCTCAAGCGAAAACAAGATGCAGCAGCAACCCGCAAGGCCAAAATGCCCAGGGGAGATCCAATTGTTGGTCGAGTAAAAAAAGAGCGACCAACGTCTCAGGCTAAGCGGCCATTGAAACAATGGGGCGAGGTGTCTTCGGAGGACGAGTCAATGGAGAATAACTTGCCTGGATATCTCAAGACCCGTCGCAGTCAGTTCGACCAGAAGCACGAACATCTGAAAGCTCATGGACTGAAGCTACCACCCACCTACGAGGATGTTGATTTCTCCGATGACGAACGGCTTGAAGAATTACAAGAAAGACCTGTCTTTCCGGATAACACCCGAAAGCAGGAATATAAGGACATCGAACTGCCATATTCCATGGGCATTATTCCCGCTCCGATCGCCCAGTGGTTGCGGCAGTACCAAGTGGAGGGAGTTGCGTTTCTCCACGAGCTGTTTGTATATCAAAAGGGTGGTGTCCTAGGAGACGACATGGGTCTTGGAAAAACCATTCAGGTGATTGCTTTCTTGACCGCCGCATATGGAAAAACAGGGGACGAACGGGATGCAAAACGCATGCGAAAGATGCGCAGATCTGATGACAACGCTTGGTATCCACGCACGCTCATCGTGTGCCCGGGAACCCTTATCGCAAACTGGAGGGCTGAGTTCACGCGCTGGGGGTGGTGGCATGTTGATAGCTACCACGGGGAGAACAAGGACCTTGCCCTTGATGCGGCAAAGTCAGGGAGAGTGGAAGTCTTGATTACAACATACACCACTTATATGAACAACAAAAACGCTGTCAATATGATTGAATGGGACTGTGTGATCGCAGACGAGTGTCACAAGATCAAGGAGCGCAAGTCAGGGACCACCCAGTCTATGAATGAGATCAATGCGTTATGTCGGATAGGACTCACCGGCACGGCCATCCAGAATAAATATGAAGAACTATGGACCCTTCTCAACTGGACAAACCCCGGTGTTTTAGGTCCGGTAAGCACCTGGAAGGCACAGATATCGGACCCTCTGAAGATCGGACAATCGCACGATGCCACCTTGAGCGAGCTCAGTAGAGCACGGAGAACAGCCAAGAAGCTGGTTGAGAACTTACTTCCACAATTTTTCATCAGAAGGATGAAATCCTTGATCGCGGACCAGCTGCCCAAAAAGATCGACCGGGTTGTCTTTTGTCCTCTGACTGAGACACAAGCCGAAGCCTATGAGAAATTCCTTGATAGTGACATTGTGGATTATATCAAGACATCTACAGAGCCATGCGATTGTAAATCGGGCAAGAAGGCCGGCTGGTGTTGTCGCAGCCTTATCCCCGATAGGGACCCTCCAAACTGGCAATCCTATGTGTTTCCTGCTATAAATGTGCTTCAAAAGCTCAGCAATCATCTGGCAATCCTGATCCCGCAAGGAGCAGACCCAAAAGAGAAGCAGGAAAAAGATAGAGATTATCTGGAACTTGCGCTACCTGAACAATGGGAAGATCTCTACCGCTCGCGCGACTCGATCGTCAACTACGCCAACCCCGAGTTTTGCGGTAAATGGAAGGTTCTGCGGAAGCTACTCAAGTGGTGGCATTCGAATGGAGACAAAGTTCTTATCTTTTCGCACAGCGTGCGTCTTCTCAAGATGTTGCAAATGCTGTTTCATCACACTAGCTACAACGTCAGCTACCTGGATGGATCTATGAGTTTACAAGACCGTGCAAAAGCTGTAGACGAGTTCAATGCCGACTCCCGACAGTTTGTTTTCCTAATATCAACCAAGGCTGGTGGTGTTGGGTTGAACATCACCTCGGCAAACAAAGTGGTAGTCGTTGATCCAAACTGGAACCCGTCCTATGACTTGCAGGCCCAGGACCGGGCCTACCGCATAGGACAACTTCGCGACGTGGAAGTCTTCCGGCTGATTTCTGCCGGCACAATCGAAGAGATCGTCTACGCTCGACAAATCTACAAGCAGCAACAGGCAAACATTGGATACAACGCAAGCTCCGAGCGTCGGTACTTCAAAGGCGTTCAAGAAAAGAAAGATCAAAAGGGCGAGATCTTTGGTCTGAAGAATTTCTTCGGGTATCAGAACACGAACATCGTTCTACGCGACATCGTCAACAGAACGAATGTCGCTGAAAGCCGTGCGGGGGTAGAAGTCGTCGACATAGATCTCAAAGCAGAAGAAGAAGGCTACGACTACACCGATCGACCAATGAAATCCGAAGACGAGGCAATGAGCCAACTCGCATCGATGATCTGCGGCGACGAGGACGAAAAAGACAACAAGCCTTCAGCCAATCTTCCAACACCGCATAAACACGACCCCGTTCAAGCGATTCTCGCAAGCGCAGGCGTGGAATACACCCACCTTAACAATGAAGTGATCGGTTCATCGCGTGTGGAGGAAGACCTCAGTCGTCGTGCTGAACTAGCTCAAGATGATACGACAGGTGACCGTCAGGTCTTTATGTCCTCGCAACCTTTCTCCCAGCCGGCGGAGGAACCTATGCGGTTCAAGTATCATCCTCCGGAGGCTGTCATACGTCGCCAGTTTTGTAGTATGGCGCGGCGGTTTGGGTTCGCTGATGCTACGGAGTTTGCGCTCGTTGTTGAGGGTATGACCCAGGCGCAGCGGAGAGCTTGTCTTGACCAGTGGTATCGGGAGAGGAGGGAGATACTACTTTCTGCGGCTCAAAACACCCCTGAGGGGGAGTGGATCAAGGATGAGAAGGTTCCTGAGGATATGGATGAAGATGAATGGATCAAAGATGAAAAGGGCCCCAAGGAGGAGAGTCCGGGTCCTTGAGTGGTTTTGCTTTTCTTGCTATTCCTTCTTGCTCGATACCCCTTCCTACTTGTATAACATGCATTTAATCATGCGATATTTGACCACGCTCGCTAAGAAACAGTTCATCTGCATAACATGGCACCTTCAAATCATTGGTATTAAACCATTCTCTTAGGATGGCTGTAGGTAAATAGATATCCATACGAAGATCGCAACGTATGCAGGGGAGCTAAAGCCAAGCCAAAGTCCACAATGCCGGCAAATTGGGATATCTTTCTTGCCAATCCGCCAAGATCTCAGGGACCTTCTCGTCGAAGCTCTGGCGCGCAGGACCAGTCCCGTTTGCCCAGCCTTCAGATCCATGAACACGATGCTCAGCAACAGCAGCCTCATTCAGACGATTGGCTAGATCAAGAATCGCCTTTCCACCAGTCAAGGCCTCTTCATGGTTATCCTTGATATCGACATTGAAGACATGAACGGGGTAATTGAGCGCGGTGCCCTTATTCATCAAATCATCGACAACAGCATCCCAGCAGCGCTCCTCGCATGTGATAATGACATCGACAACGCCGCCCTCCGTTCCAACCGCACCCTTGTCACCCTTCGAGAGGTGGTCGATACGCGGGACACCAGGCACCCAGTCCTGGAATCGCTCGGGCCCCCACTTCAGCTGGCGGTTGCGGTCGAGCATGTTCAGGATGCCGTTTCCGCGGTACAGACGCTCGTCTTTTCCAGAGAGCTCCTCGTACATTTGGTTGTAGGAGGTTGTGTTGAAGCTGTACACGTTTGGTTGGGTGATTGACGGGCCGGGGAGACGGACGAGGGAGCCTGTGCCGAAGGATATCACGGGGAAGGCTGTTGGGGCGCCGGAGAGCTGGAGGTGGGCTTCCATTGAGCGGTTGTTGTTTGAGGCGCAGACTGTGCAGAACTTGAGCTTGTACGAGTCTGCCGCGCTGGCCGGGTTGGCTGTTTCTAGGGCTTGGGTTGCTGAGGCCATGTCGGCTTGTGTGGATGTCTCTGGTGGTGGAGGGGGAGGGGGAGGAGGTTGGGGAGTTGAGGTCCCCGAGTTTGTTCGACGGGGATCATATGCCATTTTGAAGGGAGACTATGGAGATGATAATAGAGAGACAGAGAGAAGAGAGACTAAGGGGTTGTTGTTTCTAGGTATGGAAGTCGATGATCATGGGGGTTTTTTGAGTTTACAATATTCTGTTGACTATCAGAGGCGGTTAGCGACTGATTTGGTGAGATTCTTGGTGACATGAGATGTGGAAACACAAGTTCAGAAAAAAAGCGTATATGAATTTATCCGCATAGCAAAAGCTCAGACAGCTCCAATAATATATTCATCAGGTTGAGGGAAAGAGAAGGTAACACAACACACATACCTTGTAGTTATCACTCATTATCCAGTTCAAATCATTATGGGGCCGTAGCCCTGGGAGAGGAGAGAAGAGCAGGTTTGGTGAAAGTTGAAAAGCTTCGTTTTTAGTGTCTTAGCTTAGTCATGGTGTTACCGCTTATTATTCCGCCTAGAGAAAAGAGCTAGCGGGAGCTCATATTCTGCCCGACAAATATCATTGAGCTTATCGTATGTTGTACATATTGTACTTTGTCTTTAAGTATCTTTATCTTACAAGGCCTCTGCCCCCCTTTTTTTCTATTCATAGGTAGCAATCAGAATCTACCATTTCCTAAGCTTCAACCCCCTCCATTCTCTCCATAACCCCCATCAACAGCTCTCTACCCCCATATCTTTCCAGCTCCAAAATGGCAGCAAATCGTACTATCAGGCCAGCCCTGATTGTGGTGGACATGCAAGAAGATTTCTGCCCTCCAGTGAGTTGAATAAATACAATAGATTGCTATATGTGCTAATAAATAGAGTAGCATGGGTCACTCGCCGTCCAAGGAGGCCGCGACATTGCCTCGATAATCAACACTCTACTTGCAAAGCCAGGATTTGTCGCGCGCATCTTGACCAAAGACTACCACCCAAAGGACCATATCTCATTTGCCAGTAACCACCCAGGGCCTGACAACCAGCCCTTCACTTCATTCGTCACAATGAAAAACCCCGCTCTAGGAAAGGAATCAGAAACAAAACCACAGCAACTCTGGCCCGTCCATTGTGTGGCTGGCACCTCCGGCGCAGATATTATCCCAGAGATTGACACCTCTAGTGAACATATAATTGTTCAGAAAGGTATGCGTCCTGAAGTCGAGATGTACTCTGTATTTGCGGATAGTTTCGGAAACTGCGATCACGGTACCAACGCACATTCGGTCAGCATAGATGTTGCCGCAGCTCTCAAGAGTCAAGGCGTTACAGATGTGTTTGTTGTGGGCTTGGCTGGGGACTATTGTGTTAAGGCTACAGCTCTTGATGCTGTCAAGGTTGGATTCAGAAGCTGGGTTGTTGAGGAAGGAACCAAGTGTGTCGTGCCTGCTGGTTGGGATGCTGTTAAGGAGGAACTTGGGACTGCCGGGGTGTCTACTATCTCTATGAATGACCCCATTATCAGGGATCTGTGAGGGAAGAGTTGATATATCTTACTTTCCATCCTCGTACTTTTATTCTCACGCAATGCTTCCCTTCCCGGGGGTTGTTCCGTTTTCCCTGTGTCGGATATAGATTCAAGATCCACACTGCCTGGCCCTATTTCCTGTGTTTTATTTACCGTGCAGGTTTTATGATAGTGCTATAGATGAAGGCAATAGGTCTTTCACATGGATATGTTACTATGCCCTGTGTGATAGCACTCTCCAAATTTCACAGTCTATAGTTCAAATTAAAGAAAACAAACCAAACAAGGTTCCAACGATCTAATATGCATATTTAAAACTATTCTCCAGTGTCAGTATAGTAATATGTCAGATACAAAAATAGATCAACTAGTGGATAAGCGATCGACAAGCAACTGCCAGAAACGTCCCAGCATCATCCCCTTTCCGCACTACTGCAGGGTGACGTCGTGTCAAGGGGGGATTCACTCAACACTCCAACGTAGCTATCACATTTTGCAACAGACCGAAGTAGATCGGTTCAGAACTCAATCTACTCGCAATGCTTAACTTTAGGCGGCTATCCATGCCCCCAATCAGCACCCTTGATGAGAAATCAACTCCCGATGCCAATGCAGCACCCCTGCGCTTCCACGATGATCACAGTCTACCCTCCGAAACCCTCCCATATTGGCTCGTCAATTTACCTCGGTCGCAATGGACCACCGAGTGTCCTAGCTTTCTACGTGACCAATCTCTAAAGAATATTCAATGCCTCTCGACCCCTGATCACCTTTATACTCGACAGAAATGGGAGCAAGTGAAGGAGATCACAAGTTGAGTGCAGCTGCAAATTGTTAGTGATATACTTAACTCACTAATTATAATTTGTGAACTACAGGTACCAACCGGATCGATCGGTTCCAGCGTGTCCCAAGCGAGCTGCGCAAGTATCTGGAATACATGGAGCATATCAAGGCGGAGTATACATCCGTCATGAGCTTTGTGGTCAAAGAACGGTTGGGCTGGGGGGATGGCAATTGGGAAGATATCAAGCCAAGAGGTGGTCCTTTTGAATACGAGGGTATGGCACACAGGTCACCGGGTTGGGTCTAGAACACGTGAAAGACTAATAATCAACTGTATAGAGGACATCCGAATCATATACAACGATTGGCCATACGGTGTTGAAAAAGACATCATCCATCTGGTAGTGTGGACCAAGTTTGAGCTGGAAGATGATCCAGCCACAGATGACCTAACGGCAAGTGCACGAGGGGCCATAGAGAGCTATGTGCAGGACACATTTTGCTCTCGGGTACCATCCGAACAGGTATGGGAGATACTTCGTACATATTTATTACCTATGATGAAAAACTGACTTCATATGTACTGTAGGTGGTCTGGTTCAAGAACTGGAAGTCACTCAAGTCGGTCCCCGGGATAGAACACTTCCACGTCATGCTCCATCGTCCCGATATGGCATTTGTTAGGGAGATCACCTGTGGAGATGTTCCGCTGATCCAACGGCTATGATGCCGGGTGTCGACAAACTTGATTAGATTGAAAATAGAGAGAGGAAAGAGAAATTAAAGGAGAAAAAGGGGGAAAACAAAAAACAAAAACAAAAGAAAGACATTCCTGCATGTCCTAGGTACCAAGCATAATGTACATGGATGCAGCTGCCTAAATGTTTTAGTATGTTGTATACGAGTACGGCACATGTTGAATTCCCCGCCAAGCCATATGCCCCTCATTGGCGATCTTTGGGAAAGTGTTGAATGGGATATACACAGAGGTTGAGAGGTATATTGTTGGATATCTTGAATGCTTAGGACTAGAGAGGAGAGAGAGATCTACTAGATGTACTCCGTACCAGATGTAGCTATCTAGTAGGCAGTGAAATAAACAACTGATCCCAGCAAAAGAAAAATACGTCACTGGTCACTAGCCCCTCTTTGTAGCTAAGCATTTGCATGTGTTTTTGAAATATTTTTTTTTGTAGAATAATTTTAGTGTCTTTTTTAGTGTCGGGTTGTTTTTTTTTTTCTCTTATGAACTACACAAATTCGTATTTTTTTTGTGTTATTTTCCACTTTCTCGTAATTAAAAAGCCCGTTTCCGGAATTCCCGCCACAAGTCAGCTGTCTTGATTTTGACCTTGGACATTTATTTTGATTTTTGTTCTTCTTTTTGATTTAAATGTGTCAAGCGTAAGGAATTCCGTAGATTTCATTTCCGAACGCAGTCATGCCGGTTCCGCATCTCCGCCGTACTTCCCAGGCCAGTAAGTTTGTCTTCCCCCTCTCACTTTTATCCTACTGTCATACATTCAATAATATCAACATGTCAACTAAAGTCGATCCAGGCAGATCATCCATGGAGGATTCCCCGCCAAGTGGAGAGGATGAGATTGTTGAGCCAGATCAGGGAAATGGTGTGTGCAATTCCTCAATATCTCCGGACACACAACTGACTCAATATGCCTTTACAGTTCTTTCGCATATCATTTCTCAGCTGCGGCCGGGCGCCGACCTGAGTCGGGTTGTCTTGCCGACATTCATCCTCGAGCCCCGGTCTATGTTGGAGCGGATCACCAAGTGCGTTCACACCCCGCAGCTCCAAGCAGGCAAGCTCGGAGCTACCTGCTAAGATTTGAAGCTATCGACTAACAGTGTTCTCATAGCTTCATGGCCCACCCTGAAACCCTCCTCCCGATGTCAGAGATTGAGGACCCGGTCGAGCGCTTTATCTCCGTGGTCAAATTTTACCTGAGTGGATGGCACATCAAACCACCGTATGTCGCCTGCCTGCTATTTATCTGGAAACACATTCTGATACCTGCATAGAGGAGTGAAGAAGCCGCTGAACCCCATTCTTGGAGAGACCTTCACCTGCTACTGGGACTATCCCGACGGAACCCGTGCCTACTACGTCTCCGAACAGACCTCCCATCACCCACCGAAGTCGAGCTATTTCTTTGCAGCACCGGAGCATAAAATTCGCATTGATGGAACACTCAAGCCCCGCAGCAAGTTTTTGGGCAACTCTGCAGCTAGTATTATGGAGGGTATTGCCATTTTGCGCCTGATGAACCACGGGGATAAAGAAAAGGGCGAAAAATAGTATGTTGCGCCGCTTCCTATGGATCTTTCAGTCATTAACAAAAAGCAGTATTCTGACCCAGCCAAATATGTATGCGCGCGGCATTCTTTTCGGAAAGATGAAGTATGAGCTTGGCGATCACAGCTATGTACGTTGTCCCGAGAACAACCTCGTGGCCGATATCGAGTTCAAGACCAAGGGATATTTCTCCGGTACTTATAACGCAATTGGGGGAACTATCAAGAATGAAAAGACTGGGGAGGTGTTATATGAACTCTCCGGGTTGTGGAATGGGGAGATGGATCTGAAGGATGTTCATGTACGCTCCGCATACCTCTAAGGTGACTTCTGGATTCAACGCTGACCGAGAACAGACTCACAAAAAAGACGTCTTGTTCGATGCGACACACGCCAAGCATACAGCTCCTTTGGTTCGCCCCATGGAGGAGCAAGGAGAGCGGGAATCGCAGCGGTTATGGTACAACACGGTTCAAGGGCTTTTGGCCCGGAACCATGAAATTGCAACGAACGAAAAGACCAAGATCGAAGACCGCCAACGAGATGAGGCCGCGAAGCGCGTCGATGATGGAGTCGAATGGCGTCCCCGGCTTTTCCGTCCCATCCAAGGCGGCCCCGGTGGACCGGATGAGGGCGAAGAAGACCTCGATTGGATCATCAATGCTCAAGTGTAAGAACGATTTTGCTCAAACGCTAAAGATTATAACTGACAGACGCAGCGACATGCACGATCCCGAAGTCGCCACGAAGCAGATTCTAAACATCGCACCCATCCTCCAAGGTCAGAAGGAGTCATCCCAGTTCCTCATCCCGCCGCATCACCCCAATCGTTCCGCTTCCGCGAACTAGGACCCCAGGCATATCCCTCCACAACCAGCTAATGCCGCACCCCCAGGCTCCGAGACAAAAACAGATGCCACCCCGACCACCGTGGAACGGAAAAATACTGAAACATCAGAAGTGGAGAAGTTTGTAGACGCCCAGGAAACTTCATAAGCCAGCACGAAAAAGCCCCATCGCGTCCATCTCCGGCTCCCATCCATGCTATCACCGACCTAATCCAACTCCCGGTCGGTTGCTCAGGTCGCCTTTTTCTCTCACTTTCTCTCTCTCTCACACACACACACACGCACACCTCTGAATGATCCCGGAGTGTTATCACACTCTTCCTCTTCTCTCATTCTGCCATGACGTAGTCAACCTGCGCAGAAATACCCAGCACAGCCATAACTCGAGGCGGCCGACGACACGACCATTGTGATAGTTCCCCCTGCCCCTCTGATGTTTCAACACAGCGTTTTTCTCGGTCACCATGCCGCTCCCATTGCTGGATACCCGATCTGATTTTATTTAAATTTTCAAAATTCTCAGAATACAAAATACTTTTCTGAAATCTAACTGAAAATGAGCACATCCCTAATGGGAGACGGAAGAGATAGGTAGCAAGGTTTAATGCAACGTAAAGGAGATATGGAATAATCCAATAGAGCAAAAGCAATAGTCAGATGGGAAATATGGAAGACGTTAGGAGGTGTCCTCCGCATTTTATGCACTTAGGGCTTGGTATATTGGACCTTTCTGATAGATATCTCTGTTTAAGTTCACCTCCTGGTATCCAGATTTATTATCTCTCTTGTTCAAGTCCACAGTATTGACTATTGATCGATTAATTTTGTGTCTTCTCTGTCCATTACTATACAAAGCTCTCCTAGAAGAGAGGGATATCACAATAGATGGCAACTACCCATGCCACCAAATATTACCATACAAAGAACAACCGAAACTCCCCTCCGCTATCCGAATACATACAAAACGCCGCCGTCAAACCATTCTTTACTCCCGGGACTGACCCATCCCGAAGCAGCACAAAGCTCATGAATACAATTCTCCCTTGTATCCAGACCCAC